GCCTCCGCCGTAAATCGATTTTGCGAGGCGGTTGATTATGACTACCTCGGTTAATAAAAATGACCGCCTCGGTTAATCCCAGGCATTAACCGAGGCGGTTCAATTGTCCGCCCGCCTCCGGGCCCTTTGCTATAATTTATTTTGTGTATGCCACATGCACATAAATTTTGAGTATTTGTCTTGCGAAAACAAGGCAGCATTGGATGAAATTAATTCCCATGTCTATATATAGAAATGAGAAAGCAAAGGCAGCATAGCTGAAAACTAGAATTAGTGAAAAGGAACAGATCACTGCATTGCCATTAATGTGATAATCATAAAAGTTTTTAGATTCTCGGAATTAATACATTCCGAAAGATGAACACCGGGAAAACAGTTTACTAACTGCATGACTACAAAATAAGCACTACTAGTGCAGGTCCAAAAATTAACAAGAAAACTACCCATAGCACCTAAGGATACAGCTCCCCTACTTCATAACATCTCAAAAAGAAAATCAAAAACTGTCTTTGAGGCTCAAAGCAAGAATTCTTTGATTGCGGACATCAAGATTCTGTCATTCTCCACTGCACAACAGCTCCACCGGCCCTTAGCCACCCTACGGCCTCCCCGGCGGCCCGGCCGGCAGCCTGCTGTGGCCAGCTTGGCTCATGGGCGGATCTAGGGGTACTCTCAGGAATACCACTAGTGGAGGGACGGGCTTTACTCCCGGTGGAGAACCCCCTCTAGTCCCGGTTCTCCACCCGGGAGTAAGCATTCGGGACTAAAGGGGGTTCCTTTAGTTCCGGGTCGGGAACCGGGACTAAAGGGGACCCTTTAGTCCCAGTGCATAACACCAACCGGGACTAAAGGTCCTTCCAGCTTTAAAAAAATAATGTCTCCCACCGCTGCGTCCCGTGAGATTCGAACCCAAGACCTCATGCATTGCCTCGCGCGTAGCTTGCCACCCCACCTACACAACACATCTAACAATGGATGGGATGCTTCCCTTTTGAACTAACCCATCGGAGGACCTTTAGTCTGGGTTAGTGTTAACAACCGGGACTAAAGGTTGGAGAACTTTTAGTCCCAGTTGGTGGCTCCAACCGGGAGTAAAGGTCCACCTTTAGTCCTGGTTGGTGTCTCCAACCGGGACTAAAGGTCCCCTGCCACTGTGTCGAGCGCAGTAGCCGTTGGGCAGGGACCTTTAGTCCCGGTTGGAGACACCAACCGGGACTAAAGGTCTCTCTAGTCCCGGGCGCAAAAAATGCCGGGACTAGAGCCCATTTTAGCTTCGGATGAAATGTCTGTTCTCTACTAGTGTACCCAACTTTTTTGATATATAGATGTATGTATACTTATACATATAAATATATATAATGAAGTATTTTGTGATATTTTCGCTATTTTTGCCCACCGCGGCCCAAAAAACAAACTCTTGGCCTGGCTCCCAATCTCTTCCACCTCGCAAGCTGGCCCATGAGGCGATTAGGCCTCTCTAGCCCTCCACCGCTTCACCGTTACTCATCCCCTCTGATTCCGTGCCTCTGACTATACTGCGGTGCAACCTCTGCAGCTGAGGAGCTGTACGTCCAGTCCAACTGAGGATAAGAGTATTTACATTTTACAAATAACAAATTTGCAATTGTAAGGTGAGTAATAACAAATTTGCAATTTCAAGTCACGAAGAATCGCAAGGGAAAGCAACATTATAGTATTTTGTAAGTTCTCTTTATTACTTATTACTAGTTTGTTTTAGCATATTTTATAGCTAAATAATTGGTTATTTGACTACTTTTTGTGACTTTAATTATGGGCAAGTACTACTCTAAAGTATCGATTGAATTTTTTTATGTGGAAGTGGGAATATCCAAGGATGAAATCCTGGCTCCACCGCTACTTCGGCTAGCTGCTGCTGGTTGGCTGCAGCTGTGGGCACCCCGCGGCCATGAGTGGATATGGCTAGCTAATGCTGGCCGGACGCCTTGCATGATGACCGCATGCTTCTGGCCCATTATTGTTGGACAAGTCTCGGTTGCTCCCGCACTCTATGGACCTTTGGTTGCCATCCTCATAAGTAGACTTGCCATGCCTAGCGTGGAGGGATGTTTTGATGGCTTAATCTTCCTGGCTACGCTAGCGTATGAGTTGTGTTGGACTTGTGACCGCTTGCAGGACCTCCGCCGATGTGCGGCTGACTCTCGACGCCTGTGTCCCTTCACTGTGCGGGCACTTTTTGCCTGCTGCGTTGATAGTGCTTGCGTGCTACTACATGTCCCTTGAGAAGTTGCATTCATTATGTGTTGCCTTCGTCGAGCGCACCCCCTAGGTGTGGCCCGTCGGCTCCAGAGCGCTCGTGTCATCTCCTTGTGCTGTCGTCCGCCTGGGCCGGCACCACCAAGGACACCTAGGCCTTGTTTAGATGACATCAAAATTCCAAGTTTTTTTACTCTCTCTTCATCCCATCAATTTTTAGCCGTTTGCATGGAGTATTAAATGTAGGTAAAAAAAAAAACTAATTACACAGTTTAGTTGAAAATCACGAGATGAATCTTTTGAGTCTAGTTGGTCCACGATTGGACAATATTTGTCAAATAAGACGAAAGTGGTACTATTCATCGGGTTGAAATTTTTTCAGCATCTAAACGAGGCCCTAGCTTGCACTTTTGGTTTAGGATGCGGCTGACATTAAAGGCCAGAGTGATATAGGTGCCCTATGTCTAAAACTTAGGCCGTTTGGAAACAACGACAGCCAGACCAGTCGATGCCTTCCGTTTGGAAACAAGGACAGCCAGACCAACCGATGCCTTGTGCCGAGGCCGGCGCGGCTTGTCGATGAGGACATGTTACGTGTTTGATCCTGCCAGTAGTCATATGCTTGTCTCAAAGATTAATCCATTAATGCGCGCTTATAGTCCTATAAAGAATGGGCAATGCTGCCGTTTACTTACTAGGAGGTATCTCAAACAAATCAGTCATTGATTTTTTTAGATTTTTAAGTTAATTGATTGATTAATTAGTATAGGAAGAGAAACAAATATTCATAAATCCCGTCATCACGGGAGAACAGTAGACGTGCACGCCTTTCATTGTTGGTGCAGACCCTTCCTTTCCATGTATGCATTTGGGAATATCACGGGCGATTTAGGAAGTAAAGTCACATGCATAAAAAAGATCAGCAGTTTATGGTAATCAAATTATGTCATATTCAATATTGTTTAAACGGCGATGCTCTCTACCAAGCATCGGACGGACGGACCCGCCTGCCCCGTGACTCGCGCCTCATGTCTCACGCGCCCGCGGTCTCGTGCCTCGCGCGCCCACGGCCTTGCACCGCTCGCTGCTCTCGCCTCGCCTCGCCCGCGCCTCGCGCCGCGTGCCGCTTACGCCTTGCGCAGCACTCCGTCGCACCTCACGTCTCCCGCCCGGACTCACGCTGTGCACAGCCGAGGTCCAACCTCCGTGCCGTGGCATCGAGCTCCGTGCCGGTGTCAAGCTCCGTGTCAACGAGCGTCCATTGGGAGGTAGCATGTAGATGAGCACATGTTGCAACTGTATATTTCATGCTTTCAGATGTATGTATATATATGGTTCATCTAGATGTTGTAAAGGTAGATCTTGTGTTGCATATGTTGCAATGATTATACACGTATGTTGCGAGTGTATGTTTCAAACGTATGTTGCAAGTGTTTTATCTAGATGTTGCATATGTTGCACTGGCTATACACGTATGTTGCAAGTTTTTGTTTCAAATGTTTCAGCTGTTTCAAATATATGTTGCAAGTGTTTTATCTGGATGTTGCATATGTTGCAGTGCCCATACACATGTTGCAAGTGTATGTTGTAAATGTTTTATCTGTTTTGGACGTATATTACAACAAATGCTTTATGTTGCAAGTGTTTCATGAGCAGGCGTGACAAGGGGGCGTAGGTGAAGGTGGTCCCCTCATGCGCAACGGGGAAGTGAAGCGGGCACGGCAGCAGGTGCGGAGCACAAAGCTATATCCATGGGCATAGCGACATGCATGTAGCACGAAGCTGCATCTATGGGCGGACAGTAGGCGCGGAGCACCAGGCGAAGCGGAGCACTAAGTTGCATTTATGGGCAGGCAGTAGGCACGGAGCACGAAGTTGTATCCATAGGCGCCCTGAGGGTAGAAAACGGGACACCGCATTCATACGTCGTCCGGCTCCGGGCGCTAGTCCTCCGTTGTTTAAAGGATTTATCACATTCACACACATGCATCTATTAGATCTAGAAAAAAGATTTATATCTAATAATTTCCTTATTTAAAATTTAAAATTAAATAAAAATATATTTCACCTATTACCTCCTAAAAAGTAATAGATGATAGATCCTAACCATCCGATCTAATAAAATGGATGACTCACATTTATTTAGGAGTACCATAACAAAACATATAGTTGAAAATTGAGAATGACCTTAGCTCGATCGATTAAAATAAAAAGAAAAAGGAAAGCATATCTCACTATTACGGTGTTGCCTAATAGCAGATGAGATCAGAGTACATCCAGCTAGGAGTACAAGTGTAGAATAGAGTATTCTGCACTAGTCAATTAATAAAAAGGAAAACATATCTCACTATTAAGGGTAAAATCGTGAGTGACAAACTGACAATCAATTAATAAAAAGCTCGTGCGAGATGTCTTGGACCGGACACATGAGAGCTGAGCCCCATCCCTCAGTCTTTGGCAGCACATACCTTCCCTCCTCCTACTTGTTCCCTCACCAACACTCCATCCATCCAGCTGCCTCTTCTTAATTCACCAGCACCACTCCATATATGCCTTCTCCCCTTCGCCTTCCTCATCCACGCTCCATCCTTTCCTTCTCTCAGCTCTTTTCATTCTTCCGATCCCTTATATACATAGGTATTCACCCGAGAGGCAGCTTCCATCCACATTGGCATCTTTTAGCTGGGGGCATCAGCGTCGCATGCATCTTCCACCTTCGGAGTGCGTGAGAACAGCGGCAGCAAGCAAGTGCAAGTCTCTGCAACATGCCGTATTATGGTTATTATTGGTCAGGTGCGCCAAGGAAGGCATCATACTTTTATTTCTTTCAACAAATCAATCCCATCTCCCCTTTGTGTGCAGTGCAGCGTGATCCCATGCATCTCTCTCCACTAATTAGTAACTACTACCCCTTTTCTAAAACATACACTGCAGAATATGTTGAACAATACCATAGGGCACAGAGGCTACAGCAAGAGAAGTCCAGACTGTTCAACGAGAAGCGTGAACTGGAGAGGCAACCGGCGGAGAAGACGAGGGCTGCTCAGGTGTCCTCGGCCCAGGTCTTCACACTGGGGCACAAGGTGCGAGAGCTGGAGCGCTAAAACACCGGACTGTCCGGTGAGCTGGCCAAGCAAAGGGAGGACACCCGGAAGGCGGGCCTGCTCTTCATGAATGCTGCCGATAGGTACCAAGAAGAAGCCAAGAAGCAAATTAGGGCAGAGGTAGAGGAATTGGCCAACACGAGGAAGGCAGGCCTGATGCTAATGAACACCACTGATACTTACCAAGAAGCGGCAAGGAAGCAAATTAAGGAGAAGGCGGAGGAGCTGGAGGAGGCGAGGAAGGCGGTTGTGGCACTATTGAAAGCAGCTGATGCGTACCAGCAAGAAGCGAAGAAGCAAATTAGGGACAAGGTGGAGGAGCTTAAGGTCATGGGGGCGCAGAAGTTGGAGCTGGATGCGAGAGTAGAATCTTTGGAGTCGGGGCTCAAGGCAGCTGTGGCGAAGAACCGGGAATTGGAGGATGATTATGATATGGTGAAGGCTGAAAATGATAGGCTTCGGTTGGAAGTTGAGAGGTTCATGATGGAATTGGGTGCATTGGCGGAGGAGAAAGATGCAGCCGCAAAGGCATTTGACGGTGGGAGGGAAGAAATCTTGACGGAATTAGAGGACTCTAAGATGAAGGTGGAGATAACTCAAGACAACAAGAATTTGATGAAGGGTGAAAATGATAAGCTTCAGTTGGACGCTTTTGATAGCTGAGCTTGGAATATAGCTTGCTGGAAAGCAGGGGGCTGAGATGCTCAACATGTAATTAGATTCTTCATTGCCTCAAGCGAAGGATGTTGAAATGATGAGGCTAGATGCCTCAAGGGGAAACCGGAGGACTTCCAAGCCATCAAGGATATGGTGAAGGGTGCAAACTTTGGTTGGAGGTTTTGATAGCAGAGCATAATCTCATAACCTGTCAGAAGTTGAGGTTGAGAGGGTTAAGAAGAATATTTAGCCAGTATTTTTTCCCTTGAAAACATTCACATCCTCTTTTTGGAAGAAAAATATTATAAAATTGGTGTTGGAAACGGTTTTACATTTGATAACAAAACAATAATTGTGAGATTACTTATCAATATACATGGAACACTTATCTGTCGAGCTCTTTTACGGTGGTTGGCGGAGGGAAGCTAGTACTTTTAGGTACTATATATATGCATATTATTATATTGGCCGTTGATTTGAAAAAAAGGTTTTAGTAAAATCTTATTTATGCAAAAAGGGCATTGTAGTAATTGGTCCTTGTTTTATCCCCTCGTTCATTATTCCCACTACAAACCAGGTGCTACAAACACATCACCTAGATTTGTGGGTGACCACAGAAGCACCAATGTTCGATTCTCATCGGCACAGCCTCGGCAGGGGCGGAGAGCCACTGCATTTGCACGGAAGAGCCTCCCCGCCTGACATCAAACCGCCGCTAGAGCTCAGCCGCCCAATCTCATTCGGTTCGTGTCAACTTTGCCGCCCAATCTCATTCGGTTCATGTCAACTTTGCCTTGCACCGTCTAGCCTTATTTCATTTCGTCCCCCAACTTAGAGCAGTTAAGACAAGGGGTTAATTCCCTAATCATGTTGGGGGCTTGGATTTTTTGGAACCATCGCAATCGTTGTGTTTTTTATGGAGCGGCTCCAAGTATTGCTAGGGCTTTTGCCATAGCTGGTGAAGAACGACGATTGTGGACCTTTGCAGGGGCTCGAGGGTTATCCCTCTTGTCAGCCCACCTCCCAGGAGATTAGTTTTCTTTGGTCTGTGTTTCAGCCAGCTTAAGTGAGCTAGGTCTGCTGTGTTGAGTTGTGTGTGTGAGTGCGTTGTGTTGGGGTGTGTGGTGTACTTGTGTTGGGTTCTTTCACCCATATTCTTCTTAATATAATGATGCGCAAATCTCCTGTGTTTTCGAGAGAAAAAAATTCGTCCCCTAGGGTGCACCACCGCTCCTCCATTCGGCTTGGGAACACGCCAATGGCAGCGCCTCCTTGAGATTAGATACATAGGAAGATAACCATTGCCACACCTAATCTCAACTCCAAGCCAGCCGTTCCAATCATTTGGCATCCTAACATGTGGGACCCTTGGCCGAGTGCTACCATAGCCACGCCCGCAGCCCACCTAGATAATGTCGCCCCTAGGCTTCAGTCGTGCCTCCTAATCCATGCCTCCCTCAAGCTCAAGCTTGCAAGAAAGAAAGAAAGAAAGGAGATATGAGTGGAAGGAGGAGGGATAATTAGTTAACATAGGGGTCACAGATGTCAGCATGCCACATCAGCATATGGGCATGGGTTTAGACTTGTTTGGACTGGCTAGGTGACGTGGACATAGATTGAGGATCTAAACAGGTGATTTATAATAGGGACCAACATGACACACATGAATAAGTTTGAGGACCTAAATGAGAGATTTGCATGTTTAGGGGCTAGGGTGACAAAACTAAACAAGTTTGAGAATCTAAATAAGCAATTTACGAGTTCAGGGATTGGGATGGCACAGTCGCACAAGTTTGAGGACCATTTGTGCACTTTACTCATTTTTATCATGGACATCTACATCATTCAATTCTGCCCTTCATAGCTAGAAATTTAAAAGAAGAAAAAGATTTGAAGGGCTAAGATGCCAAAATTTAATGACTTGTGTTACATACCAAAATTAACGACTCGTGAATTTATGTACTATCTGAAGTATATGAGCATATGCTAATTCCAGGATTCTGAACATTTAATTTTTCTTTATGATGGAGATGTAAATGGATAGTATAAGCTTGTTGAAGGATATGTGAACATTAGTTTCTTTTTTCCACTATGACCTTGGTTCGATATTAATGCAGATCTATCCCTTAGTAGATTCTTGGACATTAATTTTATGACCAATCTACTTTTTTGTGCTATAAATAGACAACGGTTTACTACTATGAAACACATAGGGATCAAGGCTCACCATTTCAGGTCTAGTCTAGAAGCCATACCTAGGAATTAGTCGTGATACAACCATATCATACTCGCACAAGTGTCAATATGGCTACCAAACTAATCCTTCGTCTCCTAGTTTTTACTCTACTGATTGCTATGTGTACTGTAGCACATGTTTCGGGTGAAAAGATACAAAGCATTAATATTAACAAAGAATGCATCATATCCATCAAACATGGCGCTTATCATAAGCCAAATGTAGCCTGCTTTAAGATCTGTAGTAAGTATGATATGGCTGGCATGTGTAGTCACATGGACAGTGCAGATGAGAAAATGATAAGCATTGCTAACACTACCGGATTCAGCTTCTTTGCCGAGTGCCTCAGGCACTCGTCAAAGGCCGATATACACTCGGCAAAGCCTTTGCCGAGTGTTACACTCAGCAAAGGGCGCTCGGTAAACAGTTTATCGGCAAAGACCTCTTTGCCGAGTGCTAATCTGACACTCGGCAAAGAAAAGTCGCCATGACGGTGAGCGCCACCGTGACGGTGGCTTTGCCGAGTGTTAAGGTCAAGCACTCGGCAAAGGTCGCGTCTTTGCCGAGCGTCGTTGACTCAGACACTCGGCAAAGATGGCCACTGTGCCGAGTGCCAAAGGCAAGACACTCGGCAAACAGGCGACCTTTGCCGAGTGCCTGGCCCGTGGTACTCGACAAATTTGTGATGTTTGCTGAGTGCAATGGCCTTTGTACTCGGCAAAGCATGTTCCTAGGCATGTTCTCAGGTTGTCACTTTTCCGAATGTCATGGCCATTGCACTCGGCAAAGTGACTGAAAACAACCTTTTTTATTTGTTTTTTATATTCCATCTAAACAAACAGAAGATATATATAACAAACATCACCAACATCACATATATATCATCAACAACACAAATATATCACCAACACCACATATATATCACAAACGTCACATATATATCAAAAACGTCACATGTCTCACAATATATCACAAATAAGTTTACAAGTAATCCAAGTGCTCCATCATCTACAACCACAATTGCAAATAGAAGTACCATTAACAACCACAAGTATCATCACCAAGATGGCCAATGAGACTAATTTGGTGAAGGATTCGCTGAAGCATGAGGATCGTTCGATGCCGCCGATTGATTCCACACAAAGGAGAAGAGATTGCATGTGTGAGACAAGATAAATATATACCATACATGAATAAAACTTTCATACTCCACTAGGTTTGACCGTAAGCATGAACATACAAACTAAAACATTTATACTCATAGGAGTAGAATAGTGAGGAGGTGGAGTTGGAGGTGGAGCGAATAGCGAAGGTGGAGGAACTACACCTGTAGCGGCGCCAAGACTTTGCATGTACTGAAGAATCTCTGCCATCCTCCGCTGCTCGGCCTCCCGCTCGGCCTCCACCCTCTCCATCTTCGCCTGCATCTGCTCCCGTATCCTCCTCTCTTGTTCCAGCTGGGCCTACAATATATTCACCCCAATGTTTCAATAATGCAAAGGAAAGGTACGAAAAAACCAATGAACGACGAATAAACTAGGAATAACCTCGAGTGCCTCCACCCGGTGGTGTGAAGTGTCCTGCCGAGGTCGTATGGCTGGGCTCCTACTCGTGCTGCTTGCTCGAATCTGGGAGAGACTGGGAGTAGTGGCCGAGTCAATTGCGCCATCGCCAATCCAGTAACGCCCATGCTTCTTGCCTCCTCCCACCCTCATGACGACTTCTCCATCAAGGTCCTCAGTGCTCAGATCATACTCTGGCCCATGGACCTCCCTTGCCATCGATGTATACTCACTGAGGCGGTTGTGGACGGTCGCATTGCTGTATGCCTCGGCCCCGTCCTCCGGGTTGTAGTCGACGTCGGACGTCGCCTTGCCCTTGTGGGCCATAGCAAATGCCTTGAAGATGGAGCAAGGCTGGCCACCATGTGACGCCGACTGCGAGAAAAACAGCAAGATGATTAGAAATCATGCAAAATTGAGCGTTAGAATAAATAAATGAATTCACGTACCCATGTTTCTGCGTATCCGCTGAGGTTGTGGCTGCCTTGATAGTGTGCTACACCTGGCATCATCAAACACCGCTCCCAGCACAAGTTGTGCGTCTCCTCCCACTCGCGTGAGCACCACTTGTCCACCATCTGTTCCCAGCACTGGAGATGCGTGGCACACCAATAAGGAATCATCTACAGGCCATCAAGTACATGACATATCAGAAGATGAAATTAAGCCTACTTAATCTCAAAAGGAATCAGTATTAATGTTCTGTATTTACCTGCAGGTATTGGTCCTGAGTCAGCGTCATGGTTCTTGCGTCCCTTTTGGTGACCTTCGTTCCAAGGACGGTCCCGTGGTAAGTTATGACGGCCTGGATACGCGCCTCGTAATGCATGTCCACGACGAGTTTTTTGCAGCATTTGGTAGCCACCGCATCCGCCCTGGCCTCACGTCCGTCCTGGCATCTAAAGAAATCCTGCATACAAACACGATGTATCCATTCATTATTTCAAGAATATCCAATGAATGCGATGTATTGAGCAATGTAGTGCGAGGAAGACTTACCCACAACTCTTGCTTCACTCGCTCCGCCTTGTTGTTGAATACCCTACGGGCCCGATCTGCAGCATCGGGGGCGGTGGCATAGTGGTCAAACGAGTAGGCCGGCCCCGTCACTCCGGCGTACTCAACCAGGCCAGGGAAGTGCTCCTTGCACAGAAGACCGAGGATGCCATTGACTTGGCATGTGTGACCACCTCCACTCGCCACAATCG